AGGTGGATGCTCAACCGCTGAGCCACGCCCGCCGGGCCCAGCTGCTGTCATTTCTTACCCAGGCTGAGGGTAGGAACAGCCGGCACAGACTGTGAGCCCCCTGCTCTGCGGGTAGCCTTCCGGTGCTGCGGGCCTGTCATCTCCTCTTCTGTGCCTCAGAGACTTAAACCGTTCTCACTGTGGGGCTAGTTTGCCGCCCCGGGCGTTAAGGAATGGTGCCGTATTCCTGCCCCATCACCCCCAGGACCCCTGGCAGAGGGACATGGTGGTGGCAGCTGCAGGGCAGATGCTGCCGGCTGGAGAAGGAGCTGCTGTTCCTTCCAGCTGGGACGCTGGGTGCTCCAGTCGGCCGCTGAGGGAGGCGTCGTCTGAGGCGCCAGCGCCCTGGCTCAGCGCGGTGGACGGTGGTGGACGCAGAGAGCTCAGACTGGGACCTCCCTGTGGCAGGAGGGGAGCGAGGAGAGGCTGTGACAGTAATATGACCAGCCTTCTCACCTTCCTCAAGATCCTATAGTGGGTCACCCTGCCCAGGGGTCCCCGCCGCTGTGCCTCAGGGGCAGGAGGATTCTTCAGAAGTTGGGGCGAGGCCAAGTGCTTTTACCTTTTACGCACTTCATTGTTGTGATTGTTGACTGGTTTCAGTGTCACTTTGGTCATCCTCAAGTAGCACAGGTGCTCATGCTCTGAAGCGCGGGGCGAACACGGGTGAGCTCCTGTTCCCCCGGAGGTGGCGGGTTCGTGAGGTCTCAGCTGGTCGCCCCCGCTCCCAGGAATGCATCCCCAGGCTCCTCAGGGTGTGTGGAATTCAGTTTTCGGGCTGGTTTAGGTTGGCATCTGCTCTCATTGGCTGTGTGTGACTTATTTGAGCGGTTTTATCTAGTTCAGGGATCTGTGAGAAGCTCTCTTTGAGTCATAAGTGCTCCAGGAATTTGAGAGATGATGATGAGTGCCGGTAGCTTTCTTGTCTGTCAGCCTGCTCTGGATTTTTTTTCATCANTCTCTTTGAGTCATAAGTGCTCCAGGAATTTGAGAGATGATGATGAGTGCCGGTAGCTTTCTTGTCTGTCAGCCTGCTCTGGATTTTTTTTTTCATCGNCTGTCAGCCTGCTCTGGATTTTTTTTCATCACATCAGCTCACGTGTTAGACACGGCACTGCTTACTGTTTGACTTCTGTTCGCTGACTCAGGTTTGTTTATTCATTTTTCTGGAGAAGGGGGGATATGTGTGTGTCCCAGCAGCTTATTTAGGTCACCTCTCTCCTGATAGGCATCTCCTTCTCTGGAATCATGACATTTAAGCATTCAAAAGGACTAGATACCACTTAGCGACGCAGACTGCGAGTGAGTTGAGTGGAGGCGTTGGGCCATCTGTGCTCAGCGCTGCAGTTCTCGGAACCTAAACGTGCCTGACAGCCCGCTGCCAGGCAGTGACCTCATAGAGTCTCTTCTTGCAGGCATCTGAGACCATGGTGCTACTGACCACAAACTTGTGCCCAGCTATTAACCGAGCAGGGATCCACCAATAACATAAATATTGACGTCTGCTTTGTCAGCCACTGACTTCACGTTTCACCATTACCCTCAAAACGTGAATTAAAACGTAAACTGCCCTTCGGTGTGGCGTGTGCATTCGTATCTGTCAGGGTCTTAGCAGGATCTCTTTCTTACCCCTGACCTATTCCTGATCAGTATTGGTTCTGAGGACATGGTCCTTTTTACCCTCGGGGTGGCACAGACCATGTGATTCAAACAACAGCTGGTAAAGTTTCTTTTTTCTCAGAAGAGAAGAGTGTAGGTCCAGGCATTTCTCCCAGTGCTTTAAAGTGTAAACTTAGGAACCCGAGTCAACACATAAGTATTTACCTGATTCCCCTGTACCCCTCTGAAACCACAGTCTCTAGATTTCTCTGGAAGTCACGCTGCAGGACGGGGTCTCTCAGCCTCGGTGTGCACAGCAGCAGTCTCTTCAGGAACGTGGCTCCTCTTCACGCCCCACCCCTGCCCCTTTCCATGATGAATGGACCACCAATAATTTGCAAAGCCTCAGAAGCCTTGCTTCCTGGAAGTGGCCCCTGTGGTCGTGTCAGTGTTTATCCTGCACCCACCTGAAACGCAAAACATCCTCATTTCACAGAATCAGAAAAATCACCATTTGGTGACCCCTGATGAAATAATGGCCGTGAAGAAAAACCGGTGGATGCTAAAAGCCTCAAGTGAAAGGACCTTGAGGGCATTGACGTGGTTTCAAAATACCCCACAGATTATCTGCTGAGGGCAAAAAAGCAGCAACCCTGTAACCAAATTTAGCATCGTTCTTAATAGACAAATGGCCTTAATGCTCCAAGTCACAGTCACCTATGAAACATTCTTGTCGAAAATGTTAAACCCAATTCTTAACCAAATTTTTAGATCTAACATGGTTTTCAGGAAATACAAGGGATAGAGGAAAACAAGGGTGTACATATATGATGGATATTCTCAAGACAGCTGGACTGTCTTTTAAGGTCTGAACAGGAGAAAAGGGGGGGTTATTGTAGATTCAGAGAAACTAAAGAAACCCAGTCAAATGCAGCGTGCGACCCCCGAATTGGATCTCGGTTTGAACGAGGTGGGTATAAAAGACAACTGGGGATAATCGGAGATATTTTAACTTGAACTGGATTTTAGATATCTGGGAATTATTTATTTGTCAGATGTGATTACAGTCTTATGATCTCATAGGAAGATGTCTTTATGCTGAAATTCTTATTTTAAAATGGGTTAACAAAAAATACAAATGACATACAAAATGTTAATTGTTGGGTATGGGTGTTCAACATACGAGTATTCATGGTATTGTTTTATATATTGAAATTTTTCACAGTGAAAAATTTAAAAATAAAATATCACTTTATCCAAATACCACG